GGGGCTGAGCTGGGAGTGGAGCATTTTCTGGGCAAATCCAGGTGTGACAAAGATGAAAGGACCCAGAGATCCTGGGATGTCATGTGCTGGGCTGCTCCAAGGTTCCTGGCACTATTTAGCGCCGAAAAGTGGGGTTAGTCAGGGATGGTTATAGAAGGAGAGCAGAAATGGTGTGTAGTTTGTTTTTGTTTTTGTTTTGGGGGGTGTGTGGTTTTTACTATTTGCCAGAGGGCACGTACACTCAGCAGAGTGAGAGAGAGGAAGAGGGAGAAAGCACCCCAGCGGGGCGTGGTCATGGCGCCATCCTTCACCTCCACCTCTACCCTGTCGGGATTCCAAGCAGGTACCGGTGCCCAGAGCGTTTCTCAAGCCACCTGGGCCAGGACTCTGTCGTTCTCTGGGCCACGTGGGCTCCAACTCTCCCAGCCACCAGGCACAGCTTTGGCTCTGATTTTTGTTTTGTTTTGTTATTATTTTTTAAAATTCGACCAGAGAGAGACAGGGAGAGAGAGAGGAAAGGGAAAGTGAGAAAGCAAGCTGCCAGTTCTGGGACTCGAACCACAGGCAGCCATGTGGAAGTCCAGCTCCCTTAACCACCATGCCACCTGCTGTCCCCTAGAATGTCTTAATTAGGGTTACTATAAAAAGAAATACCTCATACTAGGTGATTCATGAACAACAGGGATTTATTACTCACAGTTATGGAAGCTGAGCAATCCAACCAAGATCAAGGTGCCCACAGAGTCAGTATCTCATGAGGACTTGCTCTCTACTTCAAAGATGGTGACTTCTGGTTATATTCTCGCATGACAGAAGGGATGCACAAGCTCCCTTAGGCTTTTTAAAATAGAGACATGAAATCTATTCACGAAGGTGGAATCCTCATGACCTAGTTATCTTTCACAGGCCCATTTTTAATAATACCACACTGGGGGTTAGGTTTTAACATGAATTTTGAGAAGACACAAATATTCAGGCAATAGTACAGGTTTTTAAAATTATGGCTGAATAATATTCACTTGTATGTATATATTACATTTTCTTTATCCTTTCATTTGTTGATGGACACTTAGGTTGTCGCACCTTTTGGCTGTGATGAACAATGCTGCAATGAATACAGGAAAGCAAATACTTCTCAAAACTACTGATTGCTTATTCTTTGGATATGTATCCAGATATAGGATTTCTGGATCATATGGTAATTCCATTTTTAATTTTTTAAAATGTATTTATTCATTCATTTATTTTAATTTGACCAGAGAAAGACATGGGAGAGCAGAGGGGAGTGAGAAAGCAAGCCACCAGGTCCAGGACTCGAACTGTGGTCAGCCATGTCGGAATGTCCAGCACCTCAACCGCCATGCCACCTGCTGGTCCCCTATTTTTAATTTTTGAAAAATCTTCATAGTGTTTTCCATAATGAGCACCTTAACCACCACGCCACCTGCCAGCCCCAGCCCTGTTTGTTTTAATAAACATTAGTTTTAGAAAAGTTTCAGACTTACTGAAATAATTGCAGAGACGGTAGGGCCGGTCCCAGGTGCTCTGCATCCACACCCGCTGTGGTTGGTAAGGTGCATCTGTCCCAGTTCACTCCCACGTGGACGTCCCGACTGAAGCCCACACTTGCTTCAGATTTCCTTGGAGCTCCCCTAACTCCTCGGGATGAGGTCCAGTGTCCCGAGGCTCCTCCCGGCTGGGAGAGCTGCCTGACTTCCCGGTGGTGGGTGACCACGTGAGAAGGCCCGGTCAGGGCTGGCGTAGACTCTCCCTCCACTGAGGTTTGCCTGGTGTTTGTCTCGTGATCAGAATGAGATTACGGTGTCTGGGGAGGAGCCATAGAGGGAAGGGCTGCTCTCCTCACGTCGTACCCGGGCTCCTACAGCCAGCACGCTTCGCCCCGGTGACACCGACCTGCTCGCCGGCTGAGGCTTCCGTAGGGTCTCTCCTGTCCACCTACTTTTTCATTTACCCATTTCAGTTTTTTTCTTTTTAAAAATAATTTCTTCACTTTATTTATTATTATTATTATTAATTGACGAGAGGGAAAGTGAAAAAGCAAGCCACCGGATCCGGGACTTGAACCATGGTTGTCCGTGTGGGAGTCCAGCTTCTTTAACCACCACACCACCTGCCATCCCCTTACCTGCTTTCAGTTCTGTATACTCCGAAGGAAGCGCTCAGGGCGGCCCAAGAGCAGCAGTCCTGCTCTACTGCTCAGGAACACGGTGGCCACAGAATTATCTGGAATCTTTCTGCATGGGAGGTTTGTGCCCTTTCCCTGTAAACGTCTGATGTTCTGTCTGCTTGGAATGTCTCGTAATCAATGGTGGGGACAGAACAGGTGATGGAAAACTGGCAGGGGAGGGGAGGAGAGGAGACACCGAGGCACGGTGCCGAACGCCATACCAAGGCCGTGCGGGTCTGCGGGCTGACCGGGTCCAAGCAGTGGCCCAGCTCCTCCGGAATTCTGCCCCGCTGCTCCCACTGCAGCCTGCGACAGCCAGAGACGCTCACACGGAACTCGGGGGGCCACTGCCGGCCCCAGCTCAGGCCACCACTGCACCGGGCCAACAAGCCACTCTGCAGGGACCACCTTCCGTCCCTCCCCTCGCCTGGCCAGACCCATTCTGCCTGGGATTGCTCCCGTTTCATGGCCGCGGGTCCAACATGCCTGAGAGGATTACAGAACCCCCCTGAGTGGCACGGAAGCGGTCCCCTTCTCAGGACGCAGGCTTAGAAATGGGATTTTTTTTTGAGAGAGAGAGATTTTCACTGTAGAGCGCGTGCACTCACCAGACAGACAGAGAGAGACATAGAGACAGAAAGCGAGAAATCACCCCCCAGGGGGGATGGCCACACCGCAATCCCTTCTCTTCCGTTCTCCTCTCGGGATCTCGGGCACGCACGCACATGCGCCCGGCGTGAGTTTTAAGCCACCGGGTCCGGGACACGAACCGCGGTCGACTACGTGGGAGTCCAGCGACATAGCCATTACGCTAACTGCTGGTTCCCTAGAAATGGGATTTTGTGATGACAGAGCAAGTATGGATTTCAATTCCATTTCATGGTGACCGATGGGTTCATCGGTGCTCACCTTGTTCTCGTTCCTCTGCAAACCCCCCTCCACCTTCCGGAAGCCCTCAGGGCCGCAGCACCCCCTTCTTTCAAGTTCTTGGTCAACAGCCCACGTGGCGATTGGCCGGCCCTGCACGAGAGCGACTCACCCAACCCTCACTGCACTGAGGGGCAGGTGTCTGTTATCCTGAGGGGACAGATGTAGGAGCAGCACAGAGGTTTTGCCACCAGAGACCACACAGCTGGAGGTAACAGCGGGGAAGCAGCAGGTGACATCTCTTTTCTTATTTAATAGTCAGAGGATGCCAGAGACTGAAAGGGGGCAAGAAAGAGAGGCACTCCCCGGTGGGCCTGGTCACGCTGCAATCCCTTCCCCATGGCTCCCACCTGTTGGGATTTGAGGCACACACACCCACACCTGGCGTGTTTCTCAAGCCACCAGGGCTGGGATTTGAACCTCCTCCATCCGCTAGGCCACAGGCTGGCCTGGCATCTTTTCTCTATGTCCCATGCCCCACACCTCTCCCAGATGCCTTTCTCCAGAAGTCACCCAGACAACCTGCAGAGCAAGTTACCGAGGCGCAGAGAGCAGTGGCCACGGGGTCCCTGAAGGCCCCGCGCGGTGGACCGTCCTCTCAGCACGTGGGGGGCAGGTCCCATGAGAGAGAGCGAGAGCGATCACCCTCAGGGGGAGAAAGCCATAAATCACCCTTTCCCACATTCTCCTCTGGGGGGTTTTGGGCGTGCACACAAACACGCCTGGTGTTTTTGAAGCCACAGGGTCCGGGATGTGAACCATGTTGAACCAGGCGGTCAGGCATGTGGGAGACAGCAGACCTAACCACCATGCCAGCAGCTGGCTCCACCTCTGCTCCAGCAAGGTCCAGTGCTGTGGGTTGGGGCTGAGACCTGCTTTTCTTTTTGGAGAGATTCTTGGCCATAGGGCATGTGCACTGGCTGGACAGAGTCAGAGAGAGAGAGGGACAGTGAAAATCACCACGCTTTATTCTCCCCCACCCTCCTCTCGGGGTCTTGGGCACACACGCATGTCTGGTGGGAGTTTCAAGCCACCAGGTGCAGGACTCAGCCACGGTCGACCATGTGGCCTTAACCACCATGCCGCCTGCCGACCTGAGACCTGCTTTCTACCCAGCTCGCTGCCAGCCGGCCGGCAGGGGGCCACACCCGGAGGAGCAGTGGAGGCAGCAAGGCCTCCACAGCAGAGGCCAGGAGCTACCTGGTTCCCAGCTCCAGGCTGGCTGTGCAGACGAGCCGGGAGGGCCAACACAGGCCGGGTTTGCTGTGACGGGTCCCGGGCCTGTGCAGGATGAGGGCAGGCAGGGACCTTGGGCCCACTCTCGGAGCACTAACTGAAGCCCCCACATGGCTGTGGCCACTCGAGGGGCCTGGAAAGGGGCGGGCACGGCCCAGGCCAGGACGGAGCACTCAGCAGAGGGCATGGGCGGGCTGGGGCTGCACCAGCCTGTCGTCTGACTTGTGTGGAGCCATGATCTGTTTCAGTGTGTCCTGCCCACTGACCTGGGAGCTTCTCAAGGTCAGGGTGGAGGTCACGCCCTGGAAACCCTCCGCCCTCCCAGCACAACTGCAGGGGGCGCCATC